CTGTGCTAAAGCAGTGATACATTTTATGACCTCTAATTTCAAAGAGTTTTCAATTTAGGGAATGGAATCATTTTAAAGATTTTTAAACACACACGAACATATCTGTGAGTGTGTGTGTGTTTGTACTATCCGTAAGAAATAGGAAAAGCAGAGGGTGGTACAAGATAGAAAACCAAGGGAACATAATTAGATACAGTTGTCAGGCAAGGCCCCTCCCAGGAAAGGATATTAAACCGACACCAGAAATATGAACAGGACTGAGCCAGCTGCAAAGGCGTGTGGTGGGAGAGAAGGAGAAAGAAAATTCCGGGCCCAACAATTAAACTGCTTATTCCTGCAGAAGTCTGGTCCTGCTGAGCATGAGGACATCAGCTAGTTCCACGCAGCGGGGCCCTGACGCCCTTCTCCACTGATAATCGGTGTGGCAGAGAGCTTCTGGTTGGGGCTGAGGGTGTATCTGCCCCGATCAGGAGCCAAAGCCATTGTCTTTCAGCTTCGCACAGTGGCACTATCATAGCCAATAGGGTTGATCCAAGGTGTGATTATTGCTAAGTGAAAACTTTTCCCAGTACCCCACAGGAAGACTTGCAATACCGTTGGTGTTGGCAATTTTGACAGTCTCTGTGGGGACTGGAAAAAAAAAAAAGAAAAGAAAACAGAGTCATTCTTTTTCAGGGAAGGAAAGACAGTCCATGTTGATCATCTCACTTTTCCTGTGTGGGATCCCATTGCATACCCCCCACCCTCACCTCCCCAGCATTTTACACTCAACTCCCAGATGCTCTGTGTCCTCCTTCAGAGAGCATCACTGGTCCCCACCAACAGTGCAGCCCCCTTCCCCTGTCACTGATGCTGGCCGAGGCTGCAGCAGGCACTGGGAGATGTGACTCTGCAAACTCTCCTCGCCCTCTCTTCTGGGTTCTTAATCAGGACGGAGCCAATGGAGGAACATCCAGGCATACTGAGCATGCATTCAAATGCCACTTCTGTAATTTTTCTAAGAGTAATGTGTATAACAGACCTTGCCCCCTACAGTCTATCGGATGATTATAGGTAGAGTCTGGTAAACACCATCCATGAGACGGGGGAAGGCTTCCACATTCAGGTAGAATTCAGAACAGTCATTGCCTAGAGACCAAATTCAACATTTTAATAAAAGGAAACAATTACAAACAACACATCTTTAGCAAACACAGCTGCCACCTCAACTCTACAGTAATTAAGGACAAACAGGCGCTAATGGGCACTTCTTGGTAATGCCTTTGGGAGTTGGAAAGGAAACAAACTGTCTGGGTCCTGAAGGGTATTTGCTGTGTAAGTTGCACAAGGGCTACAGAGAACTCTACTATTGCACATAAGGAAAAAAACATACATCTTGCAAGATTCAAGTACTTTTTCTTATTCCACAAATGTGCACATACGTAAGTTTCAGTTGGAGGTGTAGATTCTGCTACCAACTCCCAGTCAAGGAAGCTGACCGCAGCCTTTTGTTGAGTTTTTTAGTTGTTCATTTTCTAATCTTGGCTGTCCAGAGCCCAACTCTTCACAGCGGTGTCTTAGCTTCCACAAACCAGTTCCTGACCGTCCACCCCAGGCTTCCGGACTGGGAGGACCGGGGAGATTAAAGGCTCCTGGTGAGTTCCTGAAGCCACGGGCCTTCGGAGCTCCACCTCCCCTGCACACTTGCATCCTGCCGGAACCTCCAGGACATGAGCTTCCCAGAGGACTCAGGCATCTCCCGGGCCCGTGCCAGCCCAGGGTTGCTGCTCCTGGGGCTGCTGTTCCTGACAGCTGCAGTTGCCACCACCAGCGCCAGCGGTGAGAGCGGAAGCAAGGAGGGAAGGGGCCTGGGTTGGGAGCTACAGGGAGGGAATCCCAGGAAGCCCCCTGGGCTGGGGAGGAGTCCTTAATGCTAAGGACACCAGCCACACTTCATTGCATGCTTGCTAAGTGTGCTGGGACATGGCCGAGTGCTACATGAGCCCTTTCCCACCAAGCCAGTACAACTTCTTTCTAAGGGAGCTATGATTTGTGGCTAAGGAAAGCAGGACCTAAGCTAGTGCAAACGATCGCTAAGGTGCCTCTGGCCACTTATGGAGTCACCACACCCTCCCCTACTCCTGTCTGTCTCCCCACCTCCCCTCCACCCTCAGCTGACCCTGAAGACGGAGCTGGGGACCTGCAGTGCCTGTGTGTGAAGACCACCTCCCGGGTCCCTCCCAAGCAGGTCACCAGCCTGGAAGTGATCAAAGCCGGACCCCACTGCCCCACCGCCCAGCTGATGTGAGTCCTTGCACTGCTCCAGTCAGGGCCCACCCTGTGCCTGCTCTGCCCACCCCTCCCCTGTCTAATCGCACCTTCGCACCCCAGCACTGACCGTCACACCTCTTCTCTTCTCCCTGGCAGAGCCACGCTGAAGCATGGACAGAAAATTTGCCTGGACCAGCAAGCCTCCCCGTATAAGAAAATAATTAAGAAACTTTTGGAGATTTAGCTGTTAGCTACCTTAATCTGTACCTTTGCTATAAAATGCGTTTCAGTTTGTTTTTACTTTCTGTCTAACTGAAAGAATTTTCTGCTGTTTGCTGTATTCTTCTAATCTTGAATAAACAAAATAAATTAAGCTGTGTTATAGTCAAAGTATTTCTTAATGATAGAACAAAAAATAGTGCTGA